ATCGTGATCAATCATCAAAGAAAAAAAGAAAAGTTTCTCTAACATTCTCAGAGCCACCAGTTTGAATTTCTGTGAATTTTGAATACTTGCTATACACATACAGTATGATGTAAGAATTAACGAAGAAAATTTACCAATTTAAAATTTAATTTAAAACCAAAAAAAGAAAAAAAAAAATGAAAAAAATTAACGCGAAAATATCAAAATAGATAGGCTCTTGCCGCGCACGTCGAGAGTTTCTTGTCCCAAAATTGCCATATGGCCTCAGTCTTAAGTACAACACAGGCAAAACAAGTAATAAATTTATTACTTCTCAATAATTTCTATCCAGTGATGTCGTACCGACGAGTTCAAAAGGGAAAGAAAGCGATGAATTATTGTATATACGGTTCGGTCACTCGTTACGGTCCGCAATTCATTGTTGCCAGCACAAGATTGTTTTTTTTTTTCTTTTTTTTCAAATAAGGTCACTTCCATAAAACTATTCTCGAAACACGTTCTTAGAAAAATCATTTTCCACGAGGCCACGACAGTCGAAAGCTGTTGGTCGTGCGTGAAAATACTGCCGGCGTTCGATTCAGCGGATTTTCGCGCCGGTGTTAACGGCGAATTAATTGAAATTCTCCGCCGGCATTCATCGCGAAAAACCACGCGGATCGGAAAAGTTGCCAACGGGGATGCGTGTTTCGCGTTTTCGACCTGGTTAAACGGCCGGCGTCAACGCGTGGCTGCATTCAAATATGCGAAATTCTTGCCACCGATGCGACGAGCGAACCACCACCACCACCCTCGTTCGCTCTTTGTTCGAAATTCCTCTAATTTCGCGCGAGCCGTCAGCGCGAACGAGAACGATGGCGTCGCGCCGCGTCGCTGGAACGTCAAATTTTCTGTCTGTTGAACCGGTTGTAACGCGAAATTTCCAGCTTGGTTGCAGGTTAAAACGCTGCCCCGGAATATCTCTCGGATGATACCCGAGCGCCATCTATGTCGATGGCACGTTCTCTCTCTCTCCTGCGTGAATATGCCCCGGTGTCTGGTTGCCGGGGGAATTTGGTCGAGAGAAATGTCTTGTTTTTTTTGCGCGCGCGTGTGCGTGTTTTGCTTTTTTTTTTTTTTTTTTTTCTCTTTTTTTCATCGAAAATTGAAATTGTGCCAACGTGGAAATAAACGTGCAGGAGAAAATGGAATCTCGATTCGAAAATGAATTTTTTCACCGGGACATACATGTATGTACATATTTTCGCTGCTTTTCACGGTTCACGAGTGTCCATTTCTTTCTTTTTTTTTTTTTTTTTAAATTCTCCGCGCATTATGAGACGTATGCGTTTAAAGCGGTCGCGGGAGAGACACAGAGAGAAACGGTGGAAAAATGCGAATGAAATTTTTCAAAGTGCAGAGAAATGAAATAGTCTATGTAGGTATTTCGTCGGTTGTAACTTCATAACTTTTGCAGAAAATGAAATATGGAAATATCGAGATACATATATGGTATGGTTGTATTGTATCATTGTTATACAATACACGTATATTACTGTCATGCATACTATATGGTATTCCATATTTATACTATCATAAAATTATTATATTATTGTAAGTTATGTTATACAAATATATAATATAATATAATAAAATATATAAGATATAATGTGATATATTCTTGCATGTTATATGTATTATGTACTTGCACTTGTATAGTATTGTGTATTATATAATGTATTATATTACACATTATATTGTATATTATATTGTACATTTATATTTATATGTTAAAAAATTATTGTATTATACGACTTCTAATATTATACCATTATAATATACAATATATATCATTATTATATTGTGTATTATATTATATTCGTTATACAATACACACAATATATATTATTTCATATTATATTGCATATTTATATTGTCATTATAAAGTTATTAGTACATGTTACACTATATTACACGTTATACTGTTTTGTATTGTATCATTGTTATACAGTACACGTATATTATTGTCATGTATACTATATAGTATTCCATGTTTGTACTGTCATAAAATTATTATACTCTTGTATATTATGTTATACAAATATATAACACAATAAATATAATATAATGAAATGATATATATTTTTGTATGTTATATGTATTATACGTACTTGCACTTGTATAGTGTTGTGTATTATACATAGTATTGTATTACACAATCTATCACATTATATATCATATTGTACAATTATAATGTTAAAAAATTATTGTATTGTTGTACAACTTCCAATATTATATCGTTATAATATACAATATATACTATTATTATATCACGTATTATATTATATTATATTGTCGTTATACAATATACACAATACATATTACTTCATATTATATTGCATATTTATATTGTCATTATCACGTCGCACTATATTATACTATATTACATTATACCGTCACGATTGCATTGATAAAATCACTAGAAAGAAACGAAACCAAATGCAAAGCTACTCCTATACTTATAAAATAGCTATATACATCCATCTGAGGGAAGAAAAACCTGAAGATACTATCTTTCGAACGATATATCAGGTTGACAAGGAGACACTGACTCGATTTCCTAGCCCGTTTTCCCCGAGAAAGTAAATCGAGATTGAAGCTTGAAGGGGAGAGGGGGAGGGAGTGACTCCCGGTGATCCAAGAGCCGACCAGGAATTTCACTTTTCCATGCCCAGAGTGTTCTTTGTTACGACAGCCACCACCACTTTCGTCATTTATCCGGCGGTAATTTATCCAGGCTTCTCCTCTGCGGCTCGGCTCGCGGCGCGAAAACAGGCATCATTCTTCGTCGCCGGAAATGAAATCGCGCGGCTCCTGTCACGTAGACACCACCGTCCCCCCATTGCACGGCGTGCGAAACCATGCAATTTCTACGAGGTTGTTTTAACGATCAACTTTATGGTTAACGCGACGCAATTTCGTCTCTAATCGAAATTACAGCGGGGATGAAAATTACTTTACTTACACGTAGATCGCATGAAAACGCGCGGTGACTATATCTTTTATTATTCTGAATAAATATTATAATTGATAATCGGCCTATATTGTTAATAAATTAGCTCGACGTTCATGCAGTTTTGTATTTGCGTGATGATAATTGAAGAAGTGGAACCGAGTTGAGATACTATTATATATTATTTTTGCAATATTTACACATAGTATATTTTTTATATATTATATAGTATTATACAGTATATTTTTTATATATTTATATATTATATAAACATTTATATATTTATATATTATATATATTTTATATACTATACAATATTATATAGTATATTTTTTATATATTTATATATTATACAGTATTATATAGTATATTTTTTATATATTTATATATTATACAGTATTATATAGTATATTTTTTATATATTTATATATTATATAGTATCATATAGTATATTTTTTATATTTTTATACATTTATCACATATAAATATAAATTTAATACATAAGACTTGTATTATAAGTATAATAAATAAATTTTGGAAACAGATTTATAATAATAAATTTAAAAAAAATAATAGATTTATATTATGAGCATAATAATAAATAAAGTACTGTGTACCAGATATGTTGTACTATTTTATATACCAAAGTATTAGATGTACTATTTTATATACCAAAGTATTAGATGTACTATTTTATATACCAAAGTATTAGATGTACTATTTTATATACCAAAGTATTAGATGTGCTATTCTATATACCAAAGTATTAAATGTTCTCTCAGATACACAAAGTGCATAAAAATCATACCGATTATCTTCTATTATCATCTAACAAGATTTCTTCAGCTTTAATATTCGCTGGCAAAATCTCAAAATATTCAAACTATAGTACACAAAAAAAAGGAAGAAAAGTCTGCAGGTAAATCCAATAATCGATAATACTTTCAGTGTTAATCCCAGGCGTCTGTCCGAGACAGGGAAAGCGTATCAAAGGCTGAGCGTAAGACCGAGGCGCCTGACAGACAGGGAACACCGTCGATTGCAATATCGACACGGTGATGAAATCAGCCGAAACACGGTAGAAACGTTTATCGATCCCGCCTTATAATAATTCGGCGCACCTGCGAGCGTTCGATGAAGCTGGCACCAAGTCCAATCGCGCCACCCTCGACCACCCTCCCGCCATCAAGAGGATCGGCGCGCCAACTGACGTGCCACCAATTCAAGGTAGCACGATTTCGTCAGGTCCGCTCGACTTCGATGTTTGTTGCTCGCAATTCCGGTGAATATACCAACGGACGAACGAAGAAAATTATTACTGTCGCGCGATCCAGCTTTGACGATAATTCAAATCGTGGATCGTAGATCCGAGGAATCTGTCTGTCTGTCGGAAGACGTGATTTGAAAGTCAAACGCAACTCGCTTGTCGCGACGAAATGCAAAAGTGTTTCAGTTGGGCTTTTGGTTCTTTTTTTTAGAATTTTAGTAATCTTTTAGTCTTTTAGGGTTATAGTATAGTAAGTAGATTATACTAGAGTATAGTATAGTATATACTAAACTATACTGTATATTAGAGTATAGTGTTATTGTAGATTAGAGTATAGTATAGTATATAAACTATACTGTATATTAGAGTATAGTATAGTATTATAGTAGATTAAAGTATAGTATAGTATAGTATAGTATTCTATTAGATTAGAGTTGAGTATAGTATAGTATAGTATTCTATTAGATTAGAGTTGAGTATAGTATAGTATTAGATTAGATTAAAGTTTAGTATAGTATAGCATTATATCAGATTAGAGTTTAGTATAATATAGTTTAGTATTAGATTAGAGTATAGTATAGTATTATAATAGAGTATAGTACAGTATAGTATTATATTAGATTATAGTATAGTATTATATTAGATTAGATTATAGTATATTATAATAGAGTATAGTATAGTATTATATTAGATTAGAGTATATTAGATTATAATAGAGTATAGTATAGTATAGTATATACTCACCCATACTCTATATTAGAATACAGTGTAATACAGTATTATACTAGATTATAGAGTATAAACTATACTCTATATTAGAATATAATATAGTATAGTATTATATTACATTAGAGTATAGTACATTATAGTATTATATTAGATTAAAGTTTAGTATAGCATAGTATTATATTAGATTAGAGTATATTATAATAGAGTAGAGTATAGTATAGTATATACTCACCTACACTCTATATTAGAATACAGTGTAATACAGTATTATATTAGATTATAGAGTATAAGCTATACTCTATATTAGAATATAATATAGTATAGTATGATATTACATTAGAGTATAGTACATTATAGTATTATATTAGATTAAAGTTTAGTATAGCATAGTATTATATTAGATTAGAGTATATTATAATAGAGTAGAGTATAGTATAGTATATACTCACCTACACTCTATATTAGAATACAGTGTAATACAGTATTATATTAGATTATAGAGTATAAGCTATACTCTATATTAGAATATAATATAGTATAGTATGATATTACATTAGAGTATAGTACATTATAGTATTATATTAGATTAAAGTTTAGTATAGCATAGTATTATATTAGATTAGAGTATAATATAGTAGATTATAGGATATTATAGTAATTCGATTTATTTTTCGACTGTGACACTCGATTTCTCTTTTTCTCATCTTTTCTTTATTTCGTTGTGATACTTCAATTTTTGATTAAATTATATAATACCACTCGTGAGTAGTATGAACATGATTTTATGATTTCAGATCTCCCATTGATCGCAGAATTTATGTTCATAGTTAGACTGCAGGTATTTGTCATAATTCGTAGTTTTGAGGATATAATGGAAGAAATGAAATTGTTTTATCTACCAAATATTATAAAAGCGATTGTGCAATGGATATTTTTTATATTTTTTTACATTACGTGTACTTCATAAAATTTTGTATTTTTATATCTTCTTAAATGTGTAAAAAATCTGCACTCTATAGACTAAGAAATATAATATTTCAAATGTATAAAATATACACAAAAAACATACGAAAATATTTCAAATATTTCAAACAGATGACTGAAATATTTTATTTCATTGTATATATATATATATATTGCAATACGTTATACTAATATGTAATATTTTAAATAATATTCGAAATATATATTTTTCTGTCCGACAATAAATGTAGAAATTTAATCGTACGCTCGATGAAGAATTATAGACTCTACGACTTGTAGATCCGAAAGAAAAAGAAACAAAGAAAGTGCGGAATTCACACTCGAGATGAATGTTACAGATCTCTTAAATCATACGAAAATCGTGAATCTACTCTGTGCCGAGAGGTTGAAGGAAGACGAAAAGAGAATCGAGATCCCTTATCCATCGCTTCTACATTTTTCCTTAGGTACAACTTTTTGAGATACGAGCCCCGTCGCGATTTACGATCCAACTTTTCGAGCGCTCTCTCTCTCCCCCTTCCTCTTTCTGTCTGGCTGATTTTCCACCGCGATGAAAAACATAAATTACTGCACTACAATGACAAAAAAAAAAAAAATCGTGGACAGATTCCTAAGAAACGATTAATAAAACAATTAATTAAGAAACGATGAGCACACTCGTCAAACATCGAGTGTATCTGTTCGCTGTCAAATATTAAATTAGAATGATGCGACAACTGTTTCTCTAACGTTAAAATTTATTAATACATTAAAATTTTTAAACACAACTTATTGTTATATATTTTCTCATATTATATATTATTATTATATATTTTCTTATATTATATATTATTATTATATATTTTCTTATATTATATATTATTATTATATATTTTCTTATATTATATTATATATTTCTTATATTGTTATTTATATATTATATATTTCTTATATTATATTATATATTTCTTATATTGTTATTTATATATTATATATTTTCTTATATTATATTATATATTTCTTATATTATATATTATTATATATTTTCTTTTTTATTATTATTATTATTGTTTTTGTAATTATTACTATTATTATTTTCTGTCTATATACAATATTGTATTATTATATAAATATATAATATCTTTTATCATCCTATGTACATATATTCATATTCATCTATTATCATTTACTCTATATAGAGTATGTATATACGTTACCAATTTCACTAGTGTATACTTTGTTTTATGTTAATAAAATACAAGAATCAATTGTCAATCATAACACTTGATTATTCGTTTTCTTATCATTGGTAAAGTTTAGCTTTCCTTTGAAGTTATATCATCACAATTTCCTTGTAAATAAAGCTATGTTCTTAATTTTGTTATAAAGTGCCGTATGAAAATTCAAATTTTGTACAATATTTGCACTAAAATGTTAACAAAGTGGCATTTTCCTTAAATATACTACATTTTGATTTAAATTATTATCTTATAAAATTTTTATTCAAAAATATTAATAACAACACATAAATAAAATTTAAGTACATCTTATGGTGGATCATCAAATTAAATAATAAATTTCCCTAATAAGATCAAAAGGCCGCCATATTGTTTTATTTTAATGATTTGACATTTAATAGTAAAAATTTTAACTTATATTAATATAATAGGGTATCTAATCCTAGTTTTCTAATTCTTCTCTCGAAGAAAAAATGTGTCTCACCTCGCAGAGACTTCAAAGTTTTGAAAAAGGTGCTCGAATATAAATTGCAGGTGACTTTTGTTTCTGGTCGCGGCTAAGTATCAACAACACGGTTCGAGTAACAGCTCGAACCAGGTGAATTTCGTTTCGCAGATACCGGCGAAAGCACCGTGCAGCGGTTAAGCAAGGAGAAATCGGCGAATCGCGAGAAACGAACCTAGCAAATTGCGATTTCTAACCTAATTCCGCGTTCTGAAACGGGTTAACGATGCCGGTGCACGCCAATTCGCCGAGAACTCGCGAAATTTCATAAACCCTGCCCCCTTCCTCGGGCCATAGTAAATTCCAGCCCTCCCTCCTATTTCTCCTGGGTCGCTTCAATTACTATCTTTTCACTCGTTCGAGTATTTCAGAGCCACGATGTTATCGATTCTTATTAATTTCCCCATTCTTCTACCCTTTATCGATCCCAATCGATTGTCCCTTGCGTCGAATTTCACGCGTTTTTCTTGGAAAATATTTATAAATATAGTAAATGTATATATTATTATATTTATTAATATTAAATTTTATATATATTATTATATTATATATAATATTAACTTATGTATATTATTATATTTATTAATATTAAATTATATATATATTGTTATTATATTATATATAATATTAAATTATATATATTATTATATTATACATAATATTAACTTACACATAATAATATTATTATTAATATATAAATTATTATATTATATAATATTAAATTAATATATAATATAATATTATTACATTATGATAATAATAATGAATATTATACTTTTGTATATTTTTGTTTTGAAAATTAGGTTCGTTTAAAATTTCCTTTTTTACACAAGAGATTGATTTTCGAGAAAACCAAGTCTGAGAGTTCATCAAGTATACCTGTTTAACTCTGAGAGAATGGTAAAAATGATCAAATTCGTCATTTCATCGTCTAAACAATTTTCTTTACAGACTTACACAAATGCTGAATTTTTGCAGACTTTGATTCAAAAGGTTTGAATTTTTACAGAAGATATATATATATATATATATATATATAAAAATATATATTTTATATAATTATATATAATATATTGTATTATTATTTATATTATATATATTATATATTATAAAATATAAATTACACAAAATATACGTATATATATATATAAAGAAAAATATATATTTTATATAATTATATACAATATATTGTATTATTATTTATATTATATATTTTATTTAATATATTATATATATTAGATATTATAAAATATATGTATATATAAAGAATATATATACATGCACATATAATTCGACTTCTGTTGGAAAATAATAAAACGAGTCGTCGAATTGCGGTCGAACGACTGATGGTTTCTTTGAATCGTTCTACATGCAATTGAATGGATTGGTTAGAATTAGAATCAGTAATAGCTGATCGAGAGCTAACAAAGTTCAAATTTTAATGAAGATCAAGAGATATTCGTGAATTTGATCCTTGATCGATATTAATAGATAAATTGAATTCTTCATTGGGATAATATAGGATTACACCACTTGGTCTCGGAGATTTCAATTCAATTGAATTTTTATTACTGTTCGCTCTATATATAATAGATAAAATCGAACGATCTAAATTTAACGATAAATAAACGAAATTAATAAATAGAAAGAAAAGGCCAATGAAGGCTGATCAATTCGTTTGAAGAAATAACACCAGCTGAATAAAAATAAATGTGAGTAAAGTAAACAAATGAATAATTTAGGGTTAAATTGAAATAAATACTATTATTATCGTTATCAAATGTTAATCATATCAAAATAAATATTTTAAATATAATATATATTAATAAATATACTATATCATATATATTAATATTATATTAGTAATATAGTATATTTATTATATATTTATAGTATATTATTTAATATATTAATATATTATTTATAGTATATTTAATATATATATTATATTTTAAATGTAATATATATTAATAAATATACTATATTATATATATTAATAATATATTAGTAATATAGTATATTTATTATATTAATAAATATATTATTAAATATACAATTATTTAAAATTAATATTTTACTATTATTAAAACAAGTTGCTGTTGTTGTTTGATTTCGCAATTTTGAATTTTAAGAAACTCCTGGTTTTGATATTTGTTGAACTGGCTGTGTGTGTGATGCTGGTGGTTTCAGAAAATATTAAATCATGAAATTATATTTCTACATTAAACATAATATATTTCACATTTAATATCATTTCCAACTGTCTCAATATTTATTTTATAATATTATTTAACATTAAAATATCAAATATTA